AGTTCGACAGCTGTAACTAAAGCAGACTTGAATCTAAAGATTAATCTCTGTGGTTCAAGTCGAAATTTTCACCTCGATGCTTACCTACGGTAATGAGTCGGGGGCCATTACTGAAAAACTTCCATCATGGATACAAAGGGCTGAAATGAGGTTTTTGAGACGAATCATGGGGCTGACGAGTCTCGATATGGACCGGACTTCGGATATATGAGATACTTCTCCAAATTGAAAAGTCACAGTTGCGATGGTCTGGAAACGCTTACGAATGAATTCAGAAAGGAAGGCGAACAGTGATTCCTTGTCCAACTGACCGGCTGAGGGCCACGGGAATGGCCAAGAATGACCTTGGGCACGTGCACTGAAAGATTCTGCTCTAGACTTCGACTGTCTTTTGCCGGACCTCTAACAATGTCTGACGCATATGGCCGATACGATGGAAAGGATAGGTGGTCATCGAAATTGACTGGCTCATTTTAATTTATTTATTGCAATTCTGCACTGTGATATATTTCTTGTTTGTTTTCTGTTATCGAAAAATGCATCGAAGAGTATCAAATAACCACTCACAATAGCAGTCAACTTCGCTTGTATCATTGGATGAATACATAAGCATAAAACTCTTAACCGCCATCGAACCCCAGTGACAAAAAAGTACTTCAAACAACAACAAATCCTAAATATACTCAGCGCACAAATCATTAAGATGCAACCAAAAGACTGATCAAATCTGGCCAAGATAAATGCCCTTGGCTTAAGTGCAAGAAACTAATTCCACATTTTAATACGCAATGAACCATCGCTAAAGCCGCCGACAAAAACCTGTTTTCAAACAAATACTCAACAAAATACAGTACATAGCAGGCTCTTTCAAAATGGTAGGTGGCAACACTACTTTATGCATCGTCTGTGCACGATGACGCTTCCTGAATGTTTCAGCAGATACAGAGTTCCAGATTTCGTGGAGCAACTTAAGCACGATCACTGGTGTCATGTCAGGGTGTGAAGTACTAGAACACTTTAGTGCTGCGGCAGTCGTGCAGGCTATCAAGAACCATGAAACTACGCATGATAAAGAAAAAAGAAAGCCTGAAACTGTTGGAATGCTGATTTCCCATACAATTCCATGACGGGCTTCGTTTGTGGAGCCCTTTTTCATGGACCTTACGGTGCAACGCTGATCCCCATTTCCACACAACAAGTCAGGAGTGCCTTATTTTAAAGGCAATGGCTACAAATAATGGCTGGCACAGGATCGGAAACGTTGGAAGCTCTGTCTGACGCATCTGCCTCCGCAACTCGAAAAGAGAAGTGGCCATGGAAAATAAAGATGGAAATGAATATTACAGCACCTACTTTCAATTCAGAGAGCGCGAAACATCATTCATCTATCTTGGAAAGACACGAGGCGAATGACTCGACTGGGGCTGGAACGCAGAACTCTCGATTATGAATGAGTCCGACACTCTACTGATTTGGAATCCTAGTTCGTAAATATGCATGAATTATGCATTAGTAACGGGGCACTGCACAAACCACCTAGCCTTGTCATGCAATTCTATAACGAATAATATTTTAAATAAAACAACGTAAATTAGCTGTGTGGTCATCCGTATCCATTTCCTTGAAGAAGGAATAACAGTTATTGAAATCATCAACAACTATAAACACAGAAATAATGTGACTAGAAAATAAAAGTACATAATGACAGCAAGACTAGCAACAGATGTCTCAGTTAGACTAGGCAAGGTATAGACTAACACCATAACGTCATGTATGTATTCATTAACTTTACTATCTAGTACTATCACTACTAGCTTATTTTAACGAGGCTGCGCTCCATAATTCAACCTCGGTTCTGCGTCTTGAAGAATGGGCAATGAGCAACACACAGAACTGCATGACATGGACGACAAATCGTTGAAATGAGCTGATTAATGAGCAGTGATGGCAGCCATTAAAGCTCTTCGTGAAACCCAAAACGGTCAGCTAATGTGACGACAGTAACCGCAGCTGGTAGGGTTATTTATACACTTCCACGCAGTTTCGTCCGAGAGAAGAACACCTTGACAGCAAATCAGGACGAAAAGATTTGGGGCCACCACCTGTTTTAATCTCTGTAAAAGAGGCTGCTGAATCCATCCAATTACGTTCTCTTCCTCTGAACAGAGAATGACGATTAGTGAGCTACGCCAAATAAAAGTCCAGACTACGCTGAAGAGGTGGCATAAAGGAACTCAGAGAAAAGCACATAATGAACGACATCGATCAAGAGCGAGGAAATGCAGCTTAATAACATTCAATGCCTAAACATGCACATGTTGTCATCTTTTCGAAAAGGAGAACGGCATTTGCCGATTCAGCTAGAAGCAATTTATAAGCTCTTTGCTGCATGATTCTTCCATTTTCAAATTTCCATCCCTTCGCTGCAATCAGAAATGATTTTTTTTAGCAATAAACCTTGCCGCAGAACTGCGCACATGCAGGTTTCCAGCTGCAACCGTTTCCTTCAATTCCATTTCTTTATAGCATTTGAGGTTGAAAAGTTAAATCTGCGCAAAAAACATAATAAAGCTAAAATACAAATGCCAGGATCACCAGACAGCTATGCAATGTCAGCAACAAATGTCAAAAGAAGCCATTTCCCATAGGCATACTTAATCAGTAGCTTGTCCGGCGATTAGGCTTATTATTGAAAAGAGCAAGCCTTTGCTAGTTAAGCAAATGGAGAAAGAAGGGGCTGAAGAGCATAAGATGAACGCTAAGAAAAACATCGTATCGTATGATATCGGCAAAATGGATCGAGAACTAGCTTCTTGATTCAAAATGAACTTGTTGCTGCACATAATCACAATATCAGCTTGATCATCAATTTTATCTTGAAAAGGTCCCGAGATCTGCACACCAAGGCACTCCTGGATGCTTGTATTCCGAACCATGTCCAGACGCGCAAGGCCAGCGACCCGTCTCAGAAAGCCCAATTCAACCGATTGTACCAAGATTTAAGCTTTTCAGTCATCGTCCACGACTCATGACCGCATGTAAGCACGGGCAACAAGATCGA